TTAATGCAAAATCAACAGATTACCCGCGGGTAAACGACCGGAAATTACGGTAAGAGCAACCTCCTTGATTATTTGAGATTAGCAGTAAACCTGATCACATTTAAGCCTGATTAAGACTTGTTTATGATTATTGCTATTACCTTCACTACTATTATAAATCAAACATTATCATTTATTAAACAGTATTATTGGGATATACAACCTGCAGATAGAAAATACTCATTAGAGAAATGCTACCTTAATTATGTCAGTAAACTGTCCAATAGCCTGATCCAAATTTCCTGTGTTCATCAGCAGCATAGCGTAACCTGAAACATAAATGCTCAAATCAACTTTGGGACTATAAAGCAATACAGTGCTCTTAGAACATCTGAGAGATTAGACAAACAAATAAATAGCATTACTTTTCATAAAAGAAAAAACAATTTTCAAATAGAGATATTAGTGATACACCAAAATTTTTCACCTTTGTGAGTAAACCTTCTATTTGTTTCAGATCAATCATTGTGTCATCATGGTAACAAGGTTTATAAATATGATGGCTTCTCTTTTTGAAAATGTCTTTTTTCCTCAAGATTCACCACCATTTCTAATGTTCAATTAAATCTTTCTTTAAGAGGAAACATTTAAAAGAATGACATATTTTTTATTATCATTTTTTTCAGAGATGGAAGCAGCTTTTCTGAGAGCTAAGTTTATATGCAGATGATCTCCGCATTTAGTATTCATTTTCATAACTTACCAACTCTTTTATCAATTTCATTATTTCCAGTCAAAATAATTTTCTGTTGTGCATCATTTGCAATCACAAGATGCAGACTCTGAAAAAGATTGGGTAAATGAAATCAAATTCTTGTATTGAAAACAGACTATTAATTTTTTTGTGGTAATTTTTTTCCTTCATAATAAATATAATTATTACAGTTATAAGCCCAGCCCAGAAGGGGGGGGTGAGACTTCAGACTTTGGGGCATATTTTTGCTGAACCAAAGGATCCTGTCACAAAAGAGCAACGAACCATTACTTGCAATGACTGTGACAACGAATACATCAGACAGACCAAATGTCAGTTTGGTAGATGTTTGAAAGAGCATCAAAAAGCGGTTTTCTTTTGCAAAAAAGAAAATTCAGCTTTATTGGAGCACACATGCCTAACTAACCACACAATTGGGTGGGATAAGTCTAAAATTATCACCACCAATTGGCGTTAGCACCAGCGCCTTTGTTTGGAAGCTTGGCATATTAACTCTGCCCACACTCCTTTAAATCGTGATGATGGCAGCTTACTTCCTGACGCCTATTTACACCTTGTCAGAAAAAAAGCAGCTAATTAGTGATTGTATAAAAGGACCTCTTGTTGCAGTGTTTAGATCACCCCTGATGAAGGCACTAGACAGGAGTGTTGAAACATTGGGTCTATGAATTGTAACTTCTTCGGTTACATTCATTAAATCTGTAAACCAGAGTAGCATCAAATCATGTTCTGTGAACATATAACAAACAATACAGCAGATTTTGTCTAACAATGATTAGAAGTTATATTAGAAAGCCAGGGGACATCTGAGGGGGAGGGGGATGCACACCCCCAGCACCCCTCCCCTAGATCCACCCCTGAAGAGGTAAGCAATCTTCTAACTCCCAACATCTGATTTTATGTTTATTGATTGAGAACTAATAATTAGACTGGAACACATAGGAAAAAAAGAATACAAAAAGAATACAAAATCTTTCATTAGGACTCCGGGCAATTGCCTAATGCAGAGCCAAAACACTAAAATACAAGGAAATCTGTTGACAAGAACTAACATTCTGATTTCGCTGTTGGAAACATTTTAAAATCAGAACATTTCCTAATCACACTTGAACCTTGTTCCCGGTGTGAGTCTTGGGTGTTAACCTTGCAATGAGGAATTGAGTTCATTCACATGCAAATTAACCAGTCTCATTTTCATAAACATTGTGGTACATCTAACTTCCTGTTGTTGAAAAAATAAGTGACACAGAAATGGGTTATCAACAAAATTGGAGTCCCAGGGTCCTTTTAAGTTAAAGAAAGGAAATCCAGCCAAACAATGCCGCAGACATATATAAGTGAAAGAGACCGTGTTGAGACAATGCAAACCGCAAACACTATTATATACAATCAGCAGGATACATTCGACAAATGTTACCATGCAGAAAAGACTTCCTGTTATGTGAATTCAAATTGATTTCATGCCCACCAGATGCATAAATAAAATTAAAAATAGAAATATGTCATTCATTCTGTTAAGGTGTCTGAACTACACATTTATCATTCCATGATTGTTTGTGTCTTATCTTGTGTTAAGTTTAAAAAATGATTGTTGCACGATAATTACCTTGTCGCGCTCTGGCGTATGAATAATGAAGTGTTTTTTGGTGTTTTTAGCTGGTTTTACACAAGGACTGCTTAGGAGTACTGCTCCATTATCGCACTTGTTTGGCTTAACTTTGGTGTTACCAGCTGCAGGTCTCTGTTTACATCCATGGCCTATGTAAAAAAACCAATCATATGTTTAGAAGCTTACATAGCATATAAAGATAAATGTAATATGCGCACTGGATTTTTAAATTCAATGTTAATTAGTTGCAAGAGGTAATTATCTTCGGTCTATGAATCCACACATGAAATGTATAAAAGTGATGTTTTAAAACATCATTAGCCTTTGGTTGTTTAGGTTGAGGGAAAATGATGGAGCTTGAAAATTTAATTGAATCTCTAATGAAGACTATTGAAATAAAAAATTATGTTATCTAAAGAATGCTTCAATATGCATCACTCAGAAATGACACGTTTCAAATGCAAATTCTGGTAAAAGTTCATAAGAGCATTACATCATAATTGGTAAACTGACTTGCAACTAGCTTTGAACAAGGATCATTTATGCTTTATTCCACGGCTTAAAGAAAAGTTATCATTCTCAGTTTTTTCTGTCATGTTCATTTATGAGAATCTTTCATTCAGTAATTCATTTCTACAGGTAATTTACCGCTTGGATGGTAAAATGTCATTGACTGGAGTTTAAACCAGTTTGCTTAATGTTACTTCTAGGAAATATGTCAAATGCCTTCTGTTGGTTTAAATGGTAAGCTAAACTACAATTAGCTTGAAGGCAGGATCAAAGATCATTAAAGATAGCAGTAGAGATCAAAGCAGATTACAAATTATGAAGATAAATACTTTAGGACCAATTTTTCAAGGTGTAAAAAATGTAACAAACTTTGGATTGCATAATGTCGTTGGTTGGAGTAAAAATTTGTTGTTGATGTTCTTAGGAAAAAGCACTGAGCATCTTCTGTTGGTTTAAATGATATGCTAAGGTACAATTAGCTTAAAGGCAGGATCAAAAATCACAAAGCATAACAGAGAAGATCAAAACATGTTACAGAAAATAAAAATGTGACATGGTCTTTTAACTTGCAGTGCACCAACCCAAAACCAAAGGATGCCAAGACATTCAGTTTTCTTAACTTTTTCTGTTTTGAATATCAGTTCTTGTCCCTAAAATCGACAATAAGTGCTTTGAAAGTGAATTTGTAAATGAGCTGTTAATAAACCGCTTTCATGTCAAGCATATGGTAAGATTTAGAGACCAATTAGACAAATTATGCTGTATATCTGACAAAAGCTTGTGATCTCTCTTTGGATGATTATTAAAAATAAAAATTCCCAGTTTCCTTCAATAAAATATATCTCCACGATGTACCTTCTAAAATTATAGCATCTGTAATGTAACCACCCGTGACGAACCCTTGAATTTTAAAACTTACCGCAATTGACGGAAAAGAAATAGACGAAGAAAAAGATAAACAATAAATTTAGTTTAAAATATTGCTTTTGGAATAACAGTATTTATAGCGAAAGGAATGCGGAAGAAGCACTCCTTAGCAATCGATTTGATTGTTTTTTAATAGCATTTTGATGGGTAATAACCTGTCTTAATGCACGCACATGACAAATTGTTTGTTGATTCATTGAATTCGCGTCGCTTATGATAATTTAAATTGCGCGCAAATAAAGATAAAAGCATCTGCGTCGAAAACAAACAGAGTGAAAAATATTTGCGTATTTTTTAAGTTATTCGAAAGTTTAATTGAAGTGGATAAAAAATAATTGTTGCTTAGATACTTCTCTGCTTGTGAAGAAATGTCCATGTAAGCCCATAGGGGAAGGTTTAAAGTGCGCTATGACAAGTATCTCACAATTTCATCCACTTGTTCAGTTTTCAAGCCAAAGTCTCATAAAAAGTCTCCTAAACCACGCCATCTTAATCATTTTAGCTCGCGTACAAACCTTGATAAGGCGTTGGAGCTTGAGATTTCTTTCCGTGCTCTTTTACTTTCTCATCACGCTCTTCTCGTGCGCCGTGACCATCTGGCGTGTAGTTAGCGAGTCCACACTGCGAGATCCCACCTTCACCAAAATTCACATGAACAACTTGCGAGCCTGACACACAAACACGGTTGGCTTCTCCGACATTTTCTTTGATTGCAAAGGTGTTAAAGAAGCAAAGGAATATAACAATCAAACGTGACTCTAAAAAGAAGCGCCACGCAGCCATGTTTACGTTTGTACGCAGCCCCAGACCTCCTCTGGCTTGAGACATTTCATGATCTGTTACACAAGCAATGTATGCTCAGTCTCAATGTTTTCTTGCTATCTCTTTGAGTTCAGCGTCGTCAATGATTGGAAATTGTATTTTATCGTCTAAACGGGGCCTAATATCGGGAATTTGATTATATTATAACATTCATGGATGTCTTTTCGCCTAAGAGGGTAAGTAAAAGGCCTTTTACAATATGTGTTTGTACGAATAATACTTCAGTTGAGTCCAATCTTTCTGTCACTTGACAACGAACACAAATAATGTTGAATTATTAGTTTTCTTTCTTTGACACACTAATTTTTATCCGTAGATATTCATTGCAGACTGTCAGACTGTCCTCTAAAAAAAAAAAAACTAACAAAACGATGTCCTATGATGAGATTTAGTAACAGATATCGTAAGATATTTTAACAATCGCTATCATTTCTGAAATTGAATTTTTTTAAATATTTTCAACTGATGTGAAATTTTGAGCGATCTTTGTCGTGAGTTGTTATTTACTCAAATTCCTCTTACAGAAGTTGAGAATGGTAATGTGGACATATTCTAAATGTTTTAAAATGATTTCTTAATTGAATTACAAAAACTTTGTAGTTCGGGAAGAGGCATTTTGAAGCAATTAATTTAAGGGCCAAAATATTTTTAGCTGAAAAATACTTGACAATTAAGCTTATTCCGTGCCATGACATTTTAAAAGGCATGTTTGAATTCCTGCATAAATGGAGATGTTAATAACATTGGCAGAAATCAAATAGTAGTTTGACTGGTTCAGGTTACTAACTATCAATTAATGGTTTAAAATGCTTTGTCCAAATAAAATGACAGTTATTTAGAGACATGACAGCTAAAATGGCATGTTTTACTTCCTTTGTGGATGGAGAGATATACCATTTGCATAAATCAAAGTTTGGTTTGATACATTTGCCACTGACAGTACTTTTGACTCATTTTTAAATGGACTTAAGGATTTGGCCAGTAGAGATTGCTGAACTAGAAAGGTCTGCCTGCATTTGTACCATACTTCAATTATTGTGAATTAAGATTTATTATCCTCAATGACAAAGGATAAAAAGTGAAATATTCTTAATGATACTTTTTTCTGCAAGCTCAGAATGATTTTGGACAGTTCATATAAATTGTAGTTCTCATTTTTAGCTAAGAAACACAAGAATTTGTCAGGCTTAACTAAAGGGGTAGCTAAATTAGGAGGTATTTTTCTCTTAGCAGGAAAATCCTACCATATCTGGTGTGTAATAAATTCATTCAGGTGGTATCAGAAAGTACTTCTTTGAACGAAAATTGAAAATTGGCAGATGTAACATTCTTAATAATTTTGTTTTATGATATGAATAACTGCAAAGAATTCTCCTTCATATGTAAACTTAATTGATTTAAACTTACCTTATTTTCATGTACTCTGATAAGGGGCTAGCACTCGAAACATCAGGCTGGGTGGGCTAATAAGCTCCAGTACAAACTATTTTTTTTACTTTACGCATAGGAAAGTTAGTGGATTGCAGCAGCTAAACGAGTGGACAGATATTCTGTTACATGATTTGCACTCTTCTGCACCTTCTGATAAAAATTCCTTTGAATCTAATTCACACAAAGAGGACAATTTAAAGAAAAACAAGGACATGGCTAAGGTACTGGTAAATTAAATTTAATTTTAAACTATTAAATATTTTAAAACATTTCATCACTAAATTTATGAAATCTATACCTGTTAACCCATTGACCCCTAAGAGTGATAAGTATTAAATTTCTCCTAACAATATCACCCTTGAATCACATATTAAGGTCATGAGAAGGAAAGAAATGATCACCAACAAAAGAAGCTCTTGATTGTTAAACAAATTCTCCTTGTAAAATGTAAAGAACAGTATGGAGAATATGCATACTGATGTTAAGGTGTAAAGGGTTATTGTAAGAGTTTGAATATTTTGATTCCAATTATAGAGTACTAGAACTCAGGTTTAATTCTAAATAACCTCTAAATTTAAAATCATTGTTAACATGAACATGATTGTTATCAATTTTTTAAATTAATTCTCTGGTGTTGCTACTCAAATTGGTAAATTATTGTTCCCTTTGTATCAGATTATGATAAATCTAAGACCAAGAATAAAAAAAGATAAACTCTGGTTTGGACAAGTTTAAACTAAGATAAATTTTGAACTATAAAAAATATGATTCATTTCAAGTGAATCCATTTGGAAGTCCACCCTAAAAAGGAGGAATGTTAATAAGCTGGCATAAACAGTGTCACTGTCTAACTTTCACACATTTGAAAATTTGGTAGTTTCTCACTCGATATCAAATAAAAACCTTGCTTTTTCTTTTATACTAAAAATTTTCTCTATCTTTGATCTTTGCCGTCCATTTTGTGTGCACTTGGTCTCCTTCTCCTCTGAATAATCTGTTTATAATTAAAATATCCCACCCTTTTAATTAGGATGAAACAACACTCTTTCTGTTCTTTATTCTGTTCACTAATTTGTTTGAGAGTAACTCTGTCTGTTTTTTTACTCCTGAGTAGTCATCATCTGATGGTGAAAATAACAGGAACTTTGCTGGTTATAACATGCTGTTAGTTGATCTCCCTCCTTCTCTTGCTTCTTCTGATGCTGCTGATGGTTCAAACCTTAATCTGGTAACATTTCTTACTTCTGTCTGTCGATTCTCTTGCTAACTATCTTCCTTATTCATAGTCTCTGGATATAAACTGCTTGCCATTTGGGTTGAGTTCATGTTGGTTCCCTTCCTTGCTCTGAGGCTTTTTCTCCAGGTCCTCTGGTTTTCCTCCCTCCTCCCTCCACAAAAAGCAGCATTCCTATTCCAATTCAATCTGGAAACAGTGCATGGACAAGAGGCATCATCTTGTGGAATTTCCACTTTTAAATTCCAATCACTCTTCATTGTTTCAAGGATCATCTCTCCATCTTGACAGGTTATACATCAATACCAACCCTACTGTCCTAGTGCAAAATGGTTAGGCGGCCGATTGCAATATTCTCAACTCCTACCACGGAAAATGAATCTGCCAATCTGCCAACCTGCCAATCTGCCAATCTGCCAATCTCCCAATGAAGTTGACTAATGTCCTCTAGATAAGAATTAGTTGGGACATTTTTTCATAGAAGTGGGAGAATCAGTTAAATATTTAGTTCTCCATTCAATTGTAAGTGGATTTTCTTTACTGGGATAGTTTTACTTAAAAGGATGTGAAAATGGGAGATTGGAAAAATCAGGGTTTCTGAAATGTGTGTTCTGTGAGTCACATTCCTGAGTGATAAATGCTCTCAAAATTAAGATTCCAACACTGTACAGTAGAAAATGTTTGTTTAAATTAGATTTTGAATTTTTAAACAGGAAATCAAACAGGGGAGGCGGGCTGCACAGATTACCCAACCTCAACAGGATGCTGAGGAGGA